TTTCAGACTTAACCATTCTTTGATGTAAACAAACCAACGAAATGCTGTTGAAGCTGAATTATGATCTTGCAAAGTTAGAGAAGCAATTGAATTTCTTAACTTATCTCAAAAAACGAGTCACTAACCCTAACTTCTTGGATGGTATGCAACCCTAATCAGTCAAATATCTGTGCAAGGACTAACCCTAATCTCTCAAATGGGTGCAAGACTAAACCAAATCTGTCAAATAGTGTGCAAGTTAAACCCTTATCATTTGAGTGACGTAATGTTACGTCATAGTCCAATGAGCGTGAGGATTTTGCAGATCTGGGGACCGGTAAAGTAAAGTCTACCCTTGCCCTCATTAATGTATGTATACAGGGCCCCTGTATTATGATTTCTATCCTAATATGTGATTATGTAAAAATATTCTAGTATACCGGTCCCCATAAATATAGCGCTAAAATAGGTGCCGCCGAAGGCGGTGTACAATATATAGACGATCGCGTGAGCGATCGACAAAATCGAAAAAGAAGCCACAAATTGCAAATTTGACCCCAAATTCATGTTCCTTGTGAAAAAATGGGTTTAAAAAACTGGTTTTTAAACACAGTTTTTTAAATGAGAATTAAAAGATTTCGTAAAATAACGTACTTGTTTAGGAAGTAAATCTCCATCTTGCGTTGTTTAGGAATGTAGTCACATGATCAATTTTTGACGTAATCTTATAAATATTCATGAGTTGCGTCACTTATGTGTTGACGTAATGAAGAAATGCCTGATAGGACTCAAAGTGCAATGCTATTAAAATTGCGGGATTTTTGTGAGAAATACAGGGATTTAACAAATGTTAGCTAATTACTGGTCATCGATGGGTTGAACTGTGCATCATTATCAATTTGAAAGGAAAAATATTCTGAATATTTGGACATGATTAGGAGGTCAGGATATCGAGCTGCAGTTAACGGTAAGTCGCTTTTACAATAACTTGCCTAAACTCAGCGCTGAAAATCGTCATGTTTCGACATTAGAGTTGATTTACCCGAACTTTCATTTCTTAAACTTTCCTGTTCTTTGTAAAGCAAAAATTTCGTGAACTAAACCAAAGTGTAAGATATCGGCGCGATTCGACAGGCTGATTCATGCAAGTTTTTGGTCACAAAAGGCACTCATAGTGCCTTTTGTAAGCAAAAATGACATGAATAAGCCCAAAATCAGAAAGATTACAGAGTGGATTTATAAAACAACCCCAACTTTAAAAATTATATAACCTAACCCTAATCACTCGATCGGATGCGTTTTGTTGAAGCGAGTGGGAAATTGCGGGTTTGTTTACATTCTGCATATCAACGGCAAGGGAAATAACTGCTCATGCGCAATCGCGTGATTCTGGGGACCGGCATACTAGAAACTTCCCGTTTTTTATTACCCTTTTTAAAGCATTACCAGTAAATTTTCACAAAATTCATGGATTAGAATCTCCTGTAACGGTTCTTTCGTTCATGTGGAATCATTATCTTTTTTTCAAACTTTTTAAACATAACAATGGAAATTCAAAAAATACTAAGGAAACAAGGGGTCATGAGACATTGAGAAATTTAGTGATTCTATGATTTATGCAATATTGATCCAATCTCGTACATTACATTGTGTTATTTCCTTTCGAGAAAACTGGCATATGTGTAGGCACAAGCCAAAATTCACGCATCTCATTCATAATACAATATCATAATTTACCATTTACCTCGACAGAAAGGCACCAGTTGTAATTCATCAAAATGTTGACACTTTTTTTTCTTCTCTTTTTCGAACAGGAAGAAATAAGTTCGATGTAAAAGACAAAACCGGCACAAGCATATTCCGGATTGAGTTGAGAGAGAGAGAGAGAGAGAGAGGATTGAACAATTATGACCTTGTTCTTATTTATATTTTTAAATGCAGCATATTTTGTTATAGGGTAGGGTGGTGTAATTTCGACCGATTATTTTTTTGTACTTAAGGTAGGTCACTCGTCAGCTTTTGGAAAAGTTCATGCAGAACCTCTTACTTTAAAACTATTTATCAAAATTCAATTTTTATAACATACTATTAGTACTTAATTTCAACAATGTTAATGTTTTAACATTCAACAAAAAAACTGCTCAAAAAGCTACAAAGAAGCAAGATTTGTGACGGACTATTTTTTATGGTGGAAGGATATTTAGCAGATCATTCTGCAAATCTGTACATTTATTAAATTTAATATCTTAGACTTTTAGCCTCACATACTTTTACTCGGAGAATATTTTCAATTATGATATTGCTAGGGATATTTAATAAAGGTTTTAATTGATATTTTTAGAACAAGTTTTACACCTTCCTTCAACAAACGTTGCCAAAAAAATGAAGAATGTCAAATAAGTCAATATGAAATTAACACCATTTTTTGCCTGAAAATCACATATTTTGACCAATATTTCAAAATTAACATCACTTACCCCAACTTTTTCTTTCATTATTTTAAAGTACTTGATACTTGTGACTGATCAGCACTTAAGTCGTAAAAAGCTTGATTTAAGAAAATGTTTTATTGCCTAATTAGTTTTTTAATACCCCAAAATATGTTACTTTTTAGTGCAAACAGGTCACACAATAATTTACGCGCATTAATTTGCAAGATTTTTTTTAATGATAAATATTATTCAAAATATTTTACGTAAAATAAGATAAATTTTTTTGCCATGGTTACATCAAATAAAATATAATAAATGTTTAAGTAATTAACCAAAGAGTTTAAAATCTAAGTGCAAAAAGGTCAACTTCATTGTACCGTAGATCAGTTAGATGAACACTGACCCCCTATTTTCTCTGCGATTTTGAGTCACTCTACATGAGTACTTATCCAAAATATACTTCTCAATAAATCCTTGATTTAAGAAATTTCACGAGTGACATACCTTAAGATTTGTTAAAGTATGTCTCTGTTATGTTATGCTATAACTTTTACTGGATCCTTTTACTTTCGAAATGCCTTTTATCTTTCAGATTATATTAATTTTGTATATATTTTTGGTCATAATATGAATAAATGCGTTCGATTTACAAAATATGTGTGTTGGGCAATTTCGACCGCACACGGGGTATTTTCGACCGCTGGGTCAATACAAAGGAAATAATTTGCGTCAGCTCTAATATAGTAAAAAAAGATATGAATTGATTTTTTTCTGCTATACAGCATAAAAGATCGAGTGAAAATACTGACCAAAAAAAATTTATCAATTTTCAAAATGTCCATAATTCGAAGACATCGAGAGCACCAGTCTATGACACCGATTTGCAAATCGGTTAAGGTATGCTACAAATGCACATGTACAGGCATCTAAACCGCATGTAAATAAATAAAACAAATGATTTTTCACTATTGTAGTACTAGTTTCTACCAGATATTAATGTACATAATACTTATCCTAATATTTTTTCCGGACGGTCATGAATTCTTTCTGGTGACAGATAGTAAATTGCGTCATTTTACATTGGTCGAAGTTACCCACTGACGCCGTATTCATGTAGGGATAACTTCGGCCGATTTCTGTTCAGCTGATTTGCAATTTAATTTGTAAAAACTAAATACTATAAATTAAAAGGGTATAAATTTCATTTTCAAATAATATTTGATAAATTTCACGCCAGGGGTATCCACTGATTGTCTTTCCATACAATATTTTTTCTGAGGTGATAGTTCGCCGTGGTGGCAAAAAATATACTCGTCCGTAGTTTTTCGGGTGATAAAGCCTTTCCTTTGATGTAATTTTCCAATAACGATCTTTATAACACTCATGGAAATAAAATTATTTTGGACACAATATATCAAAATACGTTTTCTTTCTGCATAATGTACATGTATACACAATTATGCGTACACCATAAACAGAATATATTAAGGTATTTATGAACGGTCGAAATTAACCGGATGGTCGAAATTACACCACCCTACCCTATCACAAAATGTCATTATTGTTTTTTAATACATGTTTACTATTTTATAGATTAGGCCCTAACTCCAACAAAATGGGTAATTCATGAAAAGTATGTGCAACGCTTATATGGTATTGATAATTATGTCAAAATCAAGCACAATTTACAGATACTACAGTAAATCATAGTATTTTATGATCAGGGTACAGTCTATATATCATCGAATTTTATTTTCCTTGAACAATAAACTGAAATGGATAAAAGGGTATGTATACTTGTCTCTATAGACGTTTAAATAGAGAAGGGAAAAAATGAAATATTAAAAACGTTAATATTGAACATAAAGCATTATTTCAACAGTATCAAAGTTATATATATATAAAAAGAAACAAAAATAGTGCCGTATGGCATATTCAGTGTAGAAACGCAATTATTCTTTCATCTTATATCATATGATTTAACGTGCGGTATTGTTTTAAAAATATATTATCTCTCATTAGATTTTACGCCTAGCACCCCACATTTGCAACATTCTTTTTCATTTGAGTCAAATTGAGTGTTATAAATTGATTTTTTCAAAATTAATTAATGCAACAAATCGTATATTAGTTGAAAATCTCTGTCATATATCATATTAAAGTGGATATTGAAATTAACAAACAGATTGAAATTGAAACTAATAATTATATTTGTTCTCATATGATAAAAGGAAAATTATTTTCTTTTAGTATGTAATTGATTTAATGTATTCAAGGGTTAAGAAACGGTGATAAATATTGTGAATTTATCACCAAGAGAAAACATATTTTGAGCAATTTTCGTTTTTTGTCAAATTATCATTAGAAATTAAAAAACAAGTATCTCGAGGACATTTAAATTACCTTTTTTACGTTATACTAGTAGAAAAAATTACTGTTAGAGAAGACAGAAGAATGGAATAGAATTCATCAACACGAAAATGACTAAAAAAAAACCCCAACACTCTGTGCATTTTTGTCATATTTATATTGTTGAAAATGTTACTTCAACTTAAAATGTTTAGCAGATAAGCATGGCTCGTACTACAGAAGGACATGAATTACACACTGCAAAACTGTTTTAAACTCTGTAATTATCATTTCCTGCATGTATTTATCATATTCGTTGAAAATAGGGAAATATTGCGCAAAGAACATCATGACGGAAACATTCCTATGTAACAAGTAAGTCAAATTCTGGTTGATATAACATTTATACTCTGTCACACACATCAAACAAATACTATGATAAAACAGGGTGGACAGTTTACTGGTCTGCGCCTGCAAAACGAGCATCTACCCTCAGATTGTCCTCTATCCTAACTTATTTATCCTTCATATCCTTCTAGGACATATAATCAAACTGACGTTTGTATACACGCGTACAATTTGTCTATTGCATTACTTTATTACTTTAGTTCAGACACAAACTTCAAAGTGGCTTGCTGTTCAAACTATTATTATTCACAAGAAGAAGGAAAATGCGTGCGTAAGTGGATTTCTTATCTTTAGTTCTTAACTGAAATGAACGTATTCAAATATATTTTTAAATGCAGAAATTGTATGTAAGTATTTAGAAAACATTCTCAGTTTTCAATTATCAAAACAATGTTAGTATATGCCTGGGCGTGTAATGCTAGTACTTCATGAATGTGATATGGTTTGATGCTAGCCAATGACCGACCTTTCATTTCTATTATAACTTTTAACCGTTTTCAGCTTGTTCTGATGGTTACTATGGATACAACTGCAACAAGACTTGTCCAGCAGGTTTCTATGGTAGCTCCTGTACCTCACAGTGTACACGTTGTGATGAGGACAAGTGCGACTTCAGATATGGTTGTGAGAGTCAAGGTATTATTTGATATATTTATATATCAAACGTAAGTATTTTGATTGAGCATTTCAATGTATGAAATAAAATTGTATTTAAACAATATATTAATGTAGTCACAACAGAGGCTCTCAAGAAAACTGTAGCAACCACAACCGAAATAAAATTTACAACTAAAGCAGTAGAGACGCCTCCCTCTAGTGCCGTGAAACACTTATCCAGCCAGGTAGCAGCATCTAAAACTCAGAAATCTACCACTGTTACAGACATCCATCTAACTAAGACAACACACATTCCAGTTGCAATCGTCACAGAAAGTCCGCCATTACAAATTACTTTGAATTCTAATACGATTTTAATTGGCATTGGAGGATTAATATCTCTCTTACTGATGGTGATTATCCTTCAGAGATGTTTAAAATCGAAATCAAAGAAGCGCAAAATTTCCCGGAATAGCAAGAGAGCTGAAAGGCAATCAGATACTGAAACGTATTTCAACAAATCAAAGATAAGTAAATTAAGTTCTACACAGAGTGGAAGAGAAAATTACCATGAACTGAGGGGAAGTACTAATGACATTACAAATGAGCAACTAGAATCTCATTATCAGGAACTGGACCAATGCTTAGATGTGATAAGTTTGTCTTCACCAATCATGATTCTCACTGATGAAGCAAGTACCCGAACACCTTATATTGAACCTGTGCAAAACAACACATATATAGCACCTGTGTCTCCTGAGAAAATTGATGATGAACTACAAACTACAGAGTCCTACATTGAACCATCGAGGAAAATATCAACTAATGAACAACCCCATACATATATAGATATTATTGAACCATCTAGAGATGGAGACAAATGTTATCAAAAAGACATCATTGAACTACAATTCTCACCTTCAGAAACTTTAGATTTTGATGACAATCCTGCGCAGGACTTGAACGATACGTACCTTGATCCAGTGAATACTTACAAGACTCACTCTTTGTAAATGAAACTACTATTGTATTTAAGCAAACAATATTTTGCATAATGTTGAGGGGGAAAATGATTCAGAAAATTCTTTTGATATGTACTAAAGTGTCACGTTATCATTGTAACTCGTTGGTAGAATTAATCATTGCTTCTTTTTAAACCATCTAACTTTCGCGTGAGAAGTATTGAATTGTATGCTTATCATAGAAACATATACATGCAGATTAAAACAGTTTCTACAGTTTAAACATACGAGAAAGGTATACCAGAGCAAAAGAAGATTATTCTGAAATAAATGAAATATTCATGAAAATGGATAAAATACTGTAAAAATGAAATAAAATAAAATATCTCTTCAGATGGGTTGAAAGCAAAATTCAGGCCAGGAATAGCATTTCTTAATTTCTCAGAATAAAGCAGTGACTAAAATGATAATTGGGATTGGCCTCAGAATAAATACAAAGACCCTTTTCTTTTCCAGCATTAATTTAAATGCGAATTACCGGTATAATATAAGTTGCTTGTTTAATAATATTATGTTCTCTGGTCCATTTCTTATTTAAGAAGGTCGATGATATAGGAAGATGCATAGGCATTTGTAATAATACGGGTGAAAAGTGAAATTTTGAACTTTCATGGGATGAAATTCTGCCATACAGAAAACCAAAAGGTTACTAAAAGCCATTGAGGAACAATATGAAAACCATATATCCATCGATTTTCTAAAACGCAGAAGCGATGCAAAAACTGGATAGATAACATGATCAGTATGTACTGGTCCAAACTGACAAAGATTATAAATATTTTCTTTGTTTGTAAGGGTCATGTTTGAATTTTAGAGGAACTAGGATAATCAAAACTCCCTTTTTAAGGTGAAAGTCCTTCAAAATAATGTCAGATTTAAACGTTTTAAATATTCCCAACAAGCAAATTGAAATTGAATTACCCTACTTATACTTGACTCCAAAGTGGTGTGAATCAGATGTGAAAACTTAAAAACTCCAAGAAACTTTTACAAACTTTGAAATCACAAAATTTACTATTTACCAAAATTATTAATAACAATAAAATGTACAACTATTCAACACTTAATAGTAAAACTGGTATTTTTTAAAAAAACTATTTTATGAGTTATTTTACTGTAAAGGAATTTCTAGAGTTTTACTTGTTATATTTGTGCAGAATCTAAATTGAGCAGATCTCTCTATTGAGAGTCATTAATTGCTTCAGTGTATAATGTTATTCTTCAAAAGTATGATTTTCAATTGTGAGAATGAACCAAGGAAAGAAAAGTATTTTACAGAAGATTTTTTATTACTGTGAATCCAGTGCTTTCAATTAAGGAGGCAAATTCCCACCTTACAGATTTTTCTATGAATATGAATAAAATTTAAGAATTTATCTTCGAAATATGTTTAGGAGTAATTAAAAATATAAAATTGATAATTCTGTTTAACAGTTTATAACGTTGAAAAATATGTTGTTGAAAATCTTTTCTGTCAAAAACGTTTTCTAGTTGGAAATCTGCGTACAGCTTCGGAGAATTATCGTTCATTTCTTTATTATTTTCTGGTACTTAATTGATAGAGCGTTTGACAGAAAAAAGTGAAAAGAGGAATTGTACAGTTCCGGTATGTGGTATATTTTTATCTTATTCGAAGTGGATACTGTATACAGAGAACTAAATATTATCCAACAGCAAAAAGACAATTGTCAAACTTCCTGGCTTTCGAATTCATATGTATTTCCTGTTCATTTTCTCCAGCGTTTATTGACAAAATGAACTTACATATACTTCTTAATGGCTTTGAAATTGTGACATTATTTTTCGTATTTTCATCAACTTACAAAAATCCCAAGACGTGCATATTAAACAGGTATTTATATTTCTTCATGTAAATACGAACACCATAAAATGATACATGTATGAACTTTCCAGAAATGGACAATGATTAGTACAAATTGAAATAACACGAAAATCGTTGTAAAAAGAACAAGCTTATGATATCAGAGCAGAAGAGCATGCATTGAGTAGGTTACTGGTAATCGTTTTAAAAAAATTAACAATTTTATAATTTTATTCAATCATCTACAACAAAATTAAAAGCTTTAACATGAACAATCAGAGGAGCAGAAGTCAATAATTTTTTCTTTGTGTTTCAGTACCGCAGATGGCTCGATTGTCTGCTGTGCCAACTACAACAAAAACAAAAATGAAGAATGTAGTAGTAAGATGACAATATGATATCTTAATCAAACAGGGTAGAATCATTATAATTCTAGTATGTCAATGTTCATTGTCATTTCCAAAACTGTCTTCAGAATCTCTTTGATTTAAATGTGCGAGGATTTAAATATGTCGTTCCAGTATCTTGCATGGCAAGCCGTTTTGCCGATAAATAGAATTACCTCTTATTTTAAACATTTCTTAAATATAGAGATGTCTCTCAACTTAAAGATATATCTATCTAAGCGAAAGAGAATCTCGTATTGAAAAAAAAGAAAACAATATTTTAGGAATAAATGGTAAATGAACTTGCCTTAATCTTGATTCAATGTCAATAATCAAATATCTTGGTCACTAGAAATTAAGATTTATTTTCATTAGAATAAATAATCCATGTTCTTAGA